TAACCTCCATCTCTAGTATCTTTCTTAATGTGGACTTACACTTCGTTTAAAAGATAAGTTTATAAGTGGCCTCCTTGGATTACAATTTTTAGATTTAAGCAATGTTTTTTTTTATATCTCAGAAAATGTATTGAGTCCGCTGACACAATTAATCTTTTTTCTTATTTTTTAATTACTTAAACTTATTAATACTTTAATTGCAGTTTGGTTATAACTAAAAGCATATATATACTCTCCTTCTAAAAAGTTTTAAAGTTAAGTTTTAAAATAAAACAAAGAATTTATTATTATTGTTAATAATACTCAGAATGTTTAGAATGACATTTTATTGATTTTTAGTAATTGTTATTTGAGTGAAGAAATCATCTTCGAACAGAACGAATTGCCATGTGAGTATATTTGAGGGAATAAAAATAACCATGCCAAGCAAACCAATTAACACCTTGTCCAGTTTTATCTTTTCCATACTCTCCTCGTAAATACAGGCCATTCAAATGGCTGTAAGTAAAGTAATTTATATATGTATAATATGTAGAGTATATGGTATATGTAAGTCATGGAGGTTAAGAACCTCCTTTATGAGGTTTATTGTTTATATGTTATTTATGTGATTTAGATTTATGACTTGATTTTATGCACTTAAAGTGAAATAAAGAGTTTTATTTACATATATTGTTTAACTGACCTCCATATGTGGTACTTCTCTTATTTGATTTAAATCACAACATATTAAATAGTTCCACTTTTCTAAATGTACTTTAATTTTAAGAATGAGACTACCAATTCGTTTATGTAATTCCTTAACATTCCTCCACAGGCAAAGTTATATTTAATTGCAAATAAAGGACAGCAGTTCAATCACTGTAACATTTCGCTACTTTACCACTATCGTTCCTATCACTTTTATTATATATCCATGAACTACTAAAATGTATCGAAGCCTATTTACTAATATTAAAAATATTACCTTTGTTGGCAGGCTTTATACCACCAGGCGCCTTTATATTGATCTGCACAATTTCTCTCCCAGTCATCATTATCGCTATCACTTGTTGAAAACTTTGCACCAGCGTGAACAGTAAAAGAGTCTCCTGCATTGCCAGAATATTTACCAACCATACTTAATGAGTATTTCGCACTCTCATCATCAATAGCAAAACTACTATAATATGCAGTACGAGTTTCATTCGCAAAATCTTCTAATTGAAACCATAATTCCTGAATTCCATTATTTGTCATAGCATGTAATTTCTCTAATCCAATAAAGTATTCGCCCTCCAGATTACCGAAACCTAATTTATAATCAATCCATTTGCGAAAGAAGTTTATAGCACCATCCTGACGCCTTTGAATAATTGTCCACCCGGGACCATTGTTTGGATCTCGCAGACAGTATACGTAAAATGGCTTAAGTCCTGATTTTGGTATATAAATTTGGTAGATGCCACTATTTTTATAATTTCTTAATGCTTCAGCACAATTCGTTGGTAACTGAAATGAATTCAATCAAAAACCATTTGATTTTAAGGTTGCAGTTGAAATAAAATTTACCTGTCCCGGATTATCGTTATGTGAATTGACTCCAAGAACTGCGCAAAATACCAGCAAGGTAATTATTAAGACACCAAAGTTTTTATTCGACATTTTAACAAAATTACTGAAAATGAATTCGAGTAACGAGTTTTTATATCTGGGTTTTGGGCAAATACTTTAATATTATCTTATCAATGGAGTTGTACTTTAATTAGTGAATTCAAATTAATAGCTGTTATTGGGTTAAAGACTTTTTAATTTGTTAGAAAAATTAATTACATACACTACTTTATACTAAAAACCTGTCTTTCTTGATATAAATCAATGGCATTGCCTATATGAGTAACTGAAAAGAATTAGGAGCGGCATCCTCATCGTTAACATTGCCGACTATGAATTAAGGCATAATATACTCAACTAATCACTTCGAGTTATTTTAAAATTTTTATACTTGCTTAAATACTCATAGTGCTTAATGATACAGTATATGCCCATACTTCTTATATTAGGAGAATATTTTTATGTATTCCATATAGCAGTGCCAGTTAGTAACTTGTTACTTTATTTATATCTACATGTATTATATATATTATTTTTATATGTTATATATTTATATACTACATATATATGATTCTATACTGTACTATAATATAAATGACAATTTATTTATTCTTAACAAATGGTTTTATAAGTATAGAACTCATCTGCTAATAGGACGAATTGCCATGTGAGTATACTTTAAGGAGTAGTAATAGTCATGCCAATCAAACCAGTTAACACCTTGTGCAAATTTATCTTTAGGGTGCGGTCCGCGTAAATACTGCCCATTTAAGTTACTGAAAACAAATAAATTCATTAATGTATAAAATATTTCCAGTACTTTTATGTATTAACTACACATCAAAAAATTACTGAAACATTTTGAAGCCTACATACTTTATATAGTAATCACTTCTACACATCAGAAATTAATTGCATTTCATAAACAAATCATATATATTTCTTTTAAAAGCCTAATATATAGGCAATTATGAAGGCTTTTTTTTACATACCTTTTATGGCAGGTCTTGTACCACCAAGCTCCGGTGTAGGTTTGTGCACAACTTTTATCCCAAGTATCATTATCGTTATCCTTTGTTGAGAACTTCGCACCAGCGTGAGCAGTGAAGCTGTCTCCTGCGTTACCGGAATATTTACCCAATACATTAAGTTCGTATTTTGAGTTTTCATCATTAATACCCCAATTTGTAGGAAAAGCTATTTTTATAGATATGAATCAGTAGCGTCCTAGGTATCGATAAGTCGGTTATAAATAAAGAGTAGTGTCTATAAAGTGCCCTATAGAAATCAAGACTAACAATTTTTGTATTTTTAGTTTAATGCTTACTCCATGAATTAAATATTCATAAGTTAATAAAAAAATATTTCATCTGAAAATATTAAATATATAATACACTGAATAAGTCGTTACCTCAATCCTTAATATCTGAGCTGTTTGTTACTCTATTTATTAGTATTTATTATATTATACTATTTAATTGTTATTTTAATTTTTAATATATAACTTGATAAAAAATTTATTTAATTTTAAACGCGGTAAGTATTAAATAAATAATCCGAGTGATAGAAAAAGTACTAATTTTTTATCAAAATATTTGAAAAATACTACTAAATTAATAATTATTTATATATTTTAATTTTTTCAGTACAATTTTTATTAGACAGTTATCACGACTTGAATTTTCACCAATCGTCAACATAAAACTCTTCTATTTTGGCAATAACTACCTTATGAAAGTGATGTCTACATAAAAACACCGATAAACCAACTATGATGTAGTTAGTTAGTTAAAGTGGAGGGAGGAATGTCAATTGGCTACTAAAACCGTGTTGAATCTACAATTCCTCGTATTAATGTGTAGAAAAAGGTCAAACTAGTACCAGTCAAAAGCATTTATAAAGTCAAGAGTCTGGCCAATGGTAATACTAAAGACATCGCTTAGTGTGTTAAAGAAGGGAGCCCCAAAACGTAAGCCTAGTTCTGGTCAGGTCTGGAAATAGACACAACAGATATTCTGGCGTCCTCTCTTCAAGAGTTAATAGACATGCGTTGTAATAGATACCACAGGGTAGCTGAGTCTAACTCCATGCGATCTTATGGTTCAGTGCCCTTTGAAGACAAATATTAACATAAATAACTTTGGTTTGCTTATGTGTATTAGGTCAGAGGTTCTGTATTTGGAGTAGAGTGGCTATGCACCCCTTGACCTGATTGTTGAGGTAGTATGAGTATTTTTTTAATTATATTGCACTCCTCACATATTAAACTACAACAGAAGTCTTTCGTCGTCTTAGTTTTTGGTTCTTTACGTCGAATATTCCCAAACTGACACCTCTTTCTTAAATCACAATTTATGATGAAAAAAAATGAGCAAAGATATTCGATAACTTGTTTAAAAAAGAAAGAGGCAATAAATATTTAACGGCTAACGAAATAGTCAACGTAAAGTAAGGAATTGAAACCCGGACGTATAAATATAATAAAAAATTTAACAGCAGACGGGATCGACTGTTATCAGAAATGTTTAAATTATTCTAAATTAAAGAATTTAAATTGAGACTTTTGACACGTAAAAAGTAAATTGCCAATCCTATATATGTTGAGTGCGTACTCACTGATCAACTTTGGTCACGACTGCATTATTGTTACCTTCTGTCCTTTCTTTTATTACAAAGATTGTTCTTTTTAATTCCAACTGAAAGTTTGGAATAAGATTTGAATTATTAACGATAGGAAACGAATAAAATATATTTTTTTAAAAAACTTTAAGTTACCTGAATCTATATGAGTCCATGTATACAGAATTATCTTTCGGTTCAGATATTTTAACAATTTCTTCTAATTATATTGTGAATTAAGTGGTTACTCTAATAAATATAGATTGTAATAAATATTATATTCACACATGAATTATTTTTTTTTTTATTTTTTAGGACCCACTTATTCCTACTTATGTTTGTATTGCTTTATATACACTGTGTGAAAATGAAATTATTTCTTTGCATTTGTTCCAACTCACTTTCTAGAAAAACTCATTTCATGATATTGTAACTATAGTTATATATAATAATAACTGTTAATTTTTTGTATCTGCTCTAACCGACTTTAGCCTGATTAAGACAGCTTATTACATATTTATTTCTTTATTTCCTTATTGCTGTACTTATACCTTCTCTATACCTTCCTCTTCAGAATATTTAAAATTTCTTCCATTGTTTCCACTGTTTCCACTGTTTTTTATCTCAATTTATTAATATATTCAATGCAGCTTTATTATCATAAAAAATATGGATACTGTCCTCTACATATCGTTCATGTGTTTGTTACTGGCTTAGTATCGCAAGTAGTTAAGCGTTTAAATAAATCCTTCAAAAATTGGTTTTCAGTAAATAAAAGAAGTAACTAATTCTTTTTTACAATAATACAGAAAAAATTTACTTTTATTTTCCATTTTTTTTAGAACATTAAATGACTATTTGTTGGTTCTTAACATCTGTTCCACTCGCATGGCCAATGAATTTATATGCGAACAGGGCGTATTGCCATGTGAGTGTATTTGAGTGAATAGTAAAAGCCGTGCCAAGCATTCCAGTTAACACCTTGTGCGTATTTATCGTTAGAGTACGATCCACGTAAATACTGTCCAAACATATTGCTGCAAAAAAAATTATTACATATAAAACTTAAATTATTTTTTGTATTATATAAATATTAAGCCATTAGATTAGTACGAAACTCTATTGTAGTACTATGACAATCATTCATATTAATAGTTTATGCTCCAAAATATTACTGGAATATATCACAGGAATATATGAATTGGTATGCCATATAACTTTAAAAAAAACTTAATTTCGTGCACATATGCTATAAATAATTTATTTAAATAATTACTGCACCTTTGATGACAGGCTTTATGCCACCAGGGGCCTGTATAGTGATCCGCACAATTTCCATCCCAAGTATCATTATCATTATCTTTTGTTGAAAACTTTGCACCAGCGTGAACAGTAAAAGAGTCTCCTGCATTGCCGAAATATTTACCAACCATACTTAATGAGTATTTCGAACTCTCATCATCAATAGCAAAACTGCTATAAAATGCCGAACGGGTTTCATTTTCAAAATCCTCCAACTGAAACCATAATTCCTGAATTCCATTATTTGTCAATGCATATAACTTCTCCAATCCAATAAAGTATTCGCCTTCCAGATTACCAAAACCGACTTTATAGTCAATCCAATTGCGATTGAAATTTATAGAACCATCTTGACGTCTGTTGACAATTGTCCAACCGGGACCATTATTTGGATCTCTCAGACAGTATACGTAAAATGGCTTAAGTCCTGATTTTGGTATATAAATTTGATAGATGCCACTATTTTTATAATTTCTTAATGCTTCAGCACAATTCGTTGGTAACTGAAATGAATTCAATGAAAAACCATTTGATTTTAAGGTTGCAGTTGAAATAAAATTTACCTGTCCCGGATTATCGTTATGTGAATTGACTCCAAGAACTGCGCAAAATACCAGCAAGGTAATTGTTAAGACACCAAAGTTTTTATTCGACATTTTAACAAAATGACTGAAAATGGATTCGAGTAACGAGTTTTTATATCTGGGTTTTGGGCAAATATTTTAATATTATCTTATCAATGGAGTTGTACTTTAATTAGTGAATTCAACTTAATAGCTGTTATTGGGTTAAAGACTTTTTAATTTGTTAGAAAAATTAATTACATGCACTACTTTATACTAAAAACCTGTCTTTCTTGATATAAATCAGTGGCGTCGCCTATTAGTCACTGGAAAGAATTCGAAAAGTTAGAAAATCACAGTTTAAATACATTTTTACTGCAGATAAAATTGGGTGTTGCATTTAAATATTATTACAACGAAAAACCTAAACAATTAATCCATTCCATTTCCTATTTTATTATAATTATTATATTATTTAATTCTATCCATACAAGGGTTTCTAAACATCTGTAAATAAATAAAAATGAAACTATGACTGAGAAAGTGAATATAAGTTTCAATATTTGTTGTTTCTAATAAGTTAGAAAGAAAATCTAGTAAGTCGAAAACTAATAAGTCAAATAATAAAAAGGTGAATACTAGTGAATAATTTGAAGATTAATAAATTGAAGACTTAAAAGGCGAAGAATAATAAATCGCAGAGTATCCTGTCGAAGACAAACAAGCCGAAGTCTAACAAGTCGAAAACTAACAAGTCGAAGTCTTACATGTCGAAGATTAAAATGTGGCAGACAAACAAGACGAAGACTAATAACCCAAATGTTTGAAAGTTAAGGACTAATAATTAAATCGATGATGTTAAAGATTAATAAGTCAAAGTCTAATAAGTCGAAGGCAAATAAAGTGAAGTCTAATAGGACTAAATAATAGTACTAATAAGTCAAGGACTAATAAATCAAAACTAATTAGTTAAGGACTAATAAGTCAAGGAATATTAAATCAAAGACTAACAAATCGATTACCAGAAAGACGAATACAAATTAGTCGAAGACTAAAAAGTCTAACAGTAGAAGACAAATAATCTAATCGAAGACTTATAAGTTAAAGATTTGAAAATTGAAATTTTGAAAGTTAAAAATTGAAACATTGAAAACTTTAGAATTGAAGACAAATAAGACTTAAACGAATATTCGAAGATTAACAAGTAGAGAACTAATAAGTTGAATGTTAAAAGGTTGAAGGCTAATAAAAAAATCGATGAAGTTAGAAAGTTAGAAACTTAAGTTAAAAGTTAGAAACTAATAACTTAAAGAGTAATAATTTAAAAACTAATAAGTTAAAGACTAATAAATTAAAAACTATAAATTCAGAGAATATTAAGTTAAAGAAGATTATAGAGTCGAAGACAAATAAGACGAAGAGAAGTAAAACGAAGACAATTAAAGCAAAGACAAATAAGACAAAGTTAAATATGACAAAGACGAATTAGACAAGGACAAATAAGACGAAAACTAATAAGAAAAATATGTTTTTATGAGTCAAAAATTAACAAGTCAAAGACTAAAAGTCGATTAGAAACAAATCGAATGAGAAGATAAATATTTTAAATACACACCTATGCTGGCCACGTATTGGAAAATATTTTCACTGTGATTACTATAGAGGTTATCATGGAAAATAGAAATTTATAAAGATGTTATATGTTACATATATTACATATATATGTATATATATGTAATTTCATATATATGTATAAATATGTAATTTCATATATATGTATATATATGTAATATATGTAATTACACAAATTCACATATTTATTTTTTGGATTGCCACCTTAACGTGGTGAGG